CGAGACATCCACGTGGAGATGAGGAGGAGGCCGTTGGGTATGCGTGGAAGGAAAGCCAGGGGCAGGACAAACACACAGAGGAGCCAGTTGCCCATTGGAATCGGCAACGGGAGGTCATCGGTGAACTTGACCAGGGTGGTTAGGATGGAGGGGCAGGGAGCGTATGCCAGTGGTATGGGGGGCAGAGAGCATGTTGGGTAAGGACCTGGAGACACGTGTATGGACAGCTCCTTCCAAGGGCTTTGCTGCAAAGAGCAGGAAAATGCAGTTGGGGCGGCAGTGTGGTTGAGAGGCCATTGGGCGTGTTGGGACGATTTCTAACATCTTAGCTCCTGACCCTGCCCAGCCCCCTGCCAGTTTCCTCCAATGACCGGTAATGGCTTGTGCCCATGGGGGCCTGACCTAGGACGGGAGTCAGTGTGCGTCCTTGGGCTTAAATGGGTACCTCATTAAAGCTGACATAGCCGACTGCAATGATGCCTCACATCACAACTCCCAACCCCCTGATTGAAAATAACGACACTGCAGAACCCTCACCCAGGTCTTTGCCAGCGAATGAGCTCATCCTTAATGTGGCCTTGATGATGGATTTACGTATCTCCTCCCTCGTGAGGCAAGCACCAAGGTGAGGAAACACTGAGACCCGGGAACACGCAGAGGACGTACAGAGCCCTGGGTTGGCAAGGCCAGGTCCCAGCCTTCCATTCCCGACTGCTGATGCCTTCTCAGGCCACAGAATGGTCCCTTTTGCTGTTCTGCTTCCGGCTGGGCGGGCAGGAAGTCGTCCTCACGCGGGGGAGTGGGGCGGGTGGCAAGAAGGTGCTTCAACGTCCTGGGTGCAGACGGTTGCAGGAGCTAGAGCCCGGCGCACGGTTGGAGCGGATGAGCAATCTGGAAGATTCGTTCGGTGTGTGTGTGTGTGGATGGGGGGGAGGGGAGCGGGTGGATTTGCCATGGAAGACTGGGGTGTGGGCGAGCTTTGCGGATTCTCGCCCCGCTCCAGTGCCTTCCACCCCAGCTGACAGCACTTCCTAATAAGACTGAGGGGAGAGACTGGGTGCTGGTTTTCGACATCCATGTATTCATTCTTTAGTTTTAAAGCAAAGCGTCATAAAGGAAGTTTTTGCGTGGTTTCCCCGTGTCCCAGCTGGGAAGGGCAAGGGGCACCTGGCCCACCTGCTCGGTGCCTGCTCTTCTGACCACCACGCCCTTCCGGACTTTGTCATCCTCCGTAGCTCGGGCCACAGGGCTGTGGTTCAACAGGCAAATGTCACTGCTTCCCGTTGGCCAAGAGCTCCCTGCCCTCACTGGACGGCCAATGGCCAATGGCTCAACGGCCAATGGATGGCAAGAGAAGAGAACGTTTGTGGAAGACAAGCGTCCTTCTGGGAGAAGTCTTCTCTGCGCAGAGGAGAACGTCACTCTTATAATCTTCCCGGGTTCCTTGTTCATGGCGAATAACTACAGTCCTACTTGCCTTGAAGATAGAGTTGAGAAAACCTCCTGCTGCCGGTGGAAAGGGCCTCTGCCACTCCCCGTGTTGTCTGTGAGCCGTGGGGCTCCTTTGCCAAGAGGCCGGTTCTGCTCCAGAAGCTTCTTGGAGAGGGAAGCGGAGACTTTCTGCTCTAGGAGCAGAGCCCGGGTTTGGCGGCCGGTGCTGTTGCCCGTGCAGCTGGAGGAGGGGGCTCCTCGTCTCGGGAGTCTGGCATATCGTATATGTTCATGCTCTGCTCTTGGGCCTGGGGTGGGGGCATCTTCCAGAAGCTGTTCTTCCCTGCCAGGTAGCCCTTCCCTTGAAAGCTGGCCTGCTGGCCTAGAGCCCCTTCCCCATGTTGACTTCTCTCCAAGGGCCCTTGGAACCTTTCCTGCCGGGGAGCCTCAGGGGGTGGTGGAGGGAAGCCTTAGGAGACCCCTGGAGTATATGATTCCACCTTCTAAAGGCAGGGGAGACTTTTATCAAGAACATCATTTTCGGGGCGACTGGGTGGCGCAGTCGGTTAAGCGTCCAACTTCAGCCAGGTCACGACCTCGCGGTCCATGAGTTCGAGCCCCGCGTCAGGCTCTGGGCTAATGGCTCAGAGCCTGGAGCCTGTTTCCAATTCTGTGTCTCCCTCTCTCTCTGCCCCTCCCCCGTTCATGCTCTGTCTCTCTCTGTCCCAAAAATAAATAAACGTTGAAAAAAAAAAAAAAGAACATCATTCTTTTTCTTTTCTTTGTTTTAAGTAAGCTCCTTGCCCAGCACAGAGCCCAACACGGGGCTTGAACTCAGAACCCTGAGATCCAGACCTGAGCTGAGGAGCACCGGGGTGGCTCAGTCAATTGAGCATCTGACTCTTCGTTTTTTTAATGTTTATATATTTTTGAGAGAGAAAGAGAGAGAGAGAGAGAGAGAGAGAGAGAGTGGGGTAGGGGCAGAGGATCTGAAGCAGGCTCCGTGCTGACAGCAGAGAGCCCGATGTGGAGCTCGAACTCACAAATCATGAGATGACCTGAGCCGAGATTGGACGCTTAACCGAGGGAGCCGCCCAGGTGCCCCCCCGCCCACACCCCCCCATCGGACTCTTGATTTGGGTTCAGGTCATGATCTCACGGTTCATGGGATCAAGCCCCACAATGGGCTCTGCGCTGACAGCGTGGAGCCTGCTTGAGATTCTCTCTCCCCCTCTCTCTGCCCCTCCCCTGCTCACGTGTGTATGTGTTTTCTCTCTCTCTCTCTCTCTCAAAATAAAAAAGTAAACATTAAAAAAAAAAAGAGTTGAGGGGCACCTGGGTGGCTCAGTCGGTTAAGCGTCCGACTTCTGCCAGGTCGCGATCTCGCGGTCCGTGGGTTCGAGCCCCGCGTCGGGCTCTGTGTCGACAGCTCGGGGCCTGGAGCCCGCTTCGGATTCTGTGTCTCCCTCTCTCTCTGCCCCTCCCCCGTTCTCTCTCTCTCTAAAAATAAATAAACATTAAAAGTTTAAAAAAAAAAGAGTTAAGATCAAACGTCAGATGCTTAACCAACTGAGCTACCCAGGCGCCCCAAGAACATCATTGTTAAGCAAGTAATGTCAAGTTTGCTATGCTTTTTCGGGCCTTATGCTGTAGACCCCAACCAAGGTCAAATAAGGTCATCCCAGAACTGAAGTGTTTCAAGCGGGAAAAATCATCACACGTCCTACTTCCCTCCCTCCCTCCATCTCTCCCTCCATTCTTTCTTCCTTCCTCTTCTATGGATATCTCTATGGACAGATTATGAAGAAACTTATCTTTTTCATCCCAAAGAGGGAAGAAGGAAGTTGAACGCAGACTTTTACCATGGCCTTGTCGCTTTTGTTTCAGGGTAAGGATAGAAAGCTTCGGAAGCTCTGCACGCATGTACTGGGAGGGACCCTGGTGGTCCTCGCAGGGTTCACAGGGGGTCACAGATGAGGCCCTGGCTCATCCATTCTCTGTCACGGAGTGACAGCCTCTGTTACTCTGAGACTCTCTGGGTCTCAAGCTTCTCCCAGCATCGAAGCTCTCTATCTTTGGGCCGAGGTTGGGGTGGTATGGCAGCTTCCGGACAGAGCACGAAGTCGCCCTTGATAGGGGATGGCGGGCGGAAAAAATCCTTTTACTGGTTTCTGTCCATGATGTCGAGAAAGGTCTGTTTCACTGAAAGCAGCACCATCGATGTGACGGGGGGGTCCCCGAGAGGAGGCAGTGCCTGGTCAGGCAGATCCAACGTGTCAGCTTTGTCGGAAGGGAGCCTAGGTCTCGGGACCTTTTGAGACACCAAAGAGGGTCCTGCTGTCACTTCCCCAAGGCCATGGCTCAGTTAATGGCGTAGGAGAGGACACTCAAGTGATTCTTCTGGGACACAGAAGTCACTCCAGGCGACCGAGGTGGCTGCTGTCCCCAGTTCAGAGAAGCAGCTGTTGGGGTTAACGGCAGTCCTCTTGCTGGTCATTTCAAGCCCCCTCCCCCAACCAGGACCCCTCTGGAAAGACGGTGGAGAGAGGAATATCGCTAACTTCCTACAGTCGGTTGACAGTTTGACAGACACACCGTTTAAGTCACAGACCCTCCGAGGGCAAACGGTTGCTGAATTAGTGGAAACAGTCATGATTGTTAACCTGGGAACCACATAGGTGGAGAGCACAGAGTGTTTAAAGCTTATTATTCTCACTCCCTCCCCAAGTAATTGTCTTGCCCATGAAAAACAGGCTGTGATTAAGATATTAGGATGATCTCGTCACTGACTGATGAGCTTGGGCGTCAATCTTTCTGCAGCCATTAGTTCTGATCTTGAGCGCTACTGACCCGGAACAGGGACATCACATCTACCTCTGCTGCTTTCCCACGGAGCCTCATAAATTCTGCATGTGGCATTCGTGCCACGTCTTCAGCTTCTTTCTCTGCTAAGGGCTCGTGCTCCCCGTGGTGGGTTGGTGAAGCAATCTCAGCGTCAGTCCCGTGGGACTCTCGTTCCATGGGTTGTACAAGGACAGGATGGAAAAATACAATTATTTGGGAAATGTTGGGCTAGACAGGTCTTCTCGTTACGTGACTACGTCGGGTCCTTTGCACAAGTGTAAGTCTTCGAAGGAGGAAGGCGTCAAGGGCATTTCTCAAACTTCCTTTCCTGAGGCAAGGAAATCTTTTGGTGTAGAACCCACTCCGGGTCTCTTATGCTCAGGCACATATTTTGGGAAATGTTGCTCTCAAAGGAAATGATCAAGTCTTTGCGATCTCCCAGGCCAGCACTGCCCAACAGCAACATAATGGGAGCCACCAAGGCAAGCCACGGTTGAGATTTGAGTTTCCCAATAGTCGCGTTAAGAAAATTAAAGTAAACAGGTGAAATTAATTAAAAAAAAATTTTTTTTTAATATTTATTTATTCTTGAGAGACAGAGCGCAAGCAGGGGAGGAGCAGAGAGAGAAGGAGACACAGAATGTAAATCAGGCTCCAGGCTCTGAGCTGTCAGCACGGAGCCCGACGCGGGGCACGAACCCATGAACTGAGATCGTGACCCGATCCGAACTTGGACGCTCCACCGACTGACCCACCCAGGCACCCAACAGGTGAAATTAATTTTAATAATATATTATGTGTCGTATAATATACAATTATGTATAAAAATATATAAATCCTTAGGTATAAATGAGGAATACATGTACAATTATATATGACCTACGTAACTCATATCAAAAATATTATCATTTCAAGATGTAGTCAGTATGAAAGTATTGATGTTTGGATTTTCTTTCTATCACGTCATTAAAATCTGATAGGCACTTGACTCCTGGGGTACAGCTCAGACTAGCCACCTTTCAAAGGCTCAGCAGCCCCATGGGGCTGGTGGCTGCCATATTGGACAGTGTGGCTCTATTCCAGTCTCTGCCCAGTGCAGGTTCCACACCCCATGTGACACGTGTAGAGGCCACACACTCAGTGAGACCCCTTTAGAAGTACAGTGATGGGGCTTCTTGCCAAAAGGGGTTCATACTGCATTGGTCTTTGGCACACCCCTCACCCGTCTGCCTCATGTTCTACTAGGATCTGGAGAATCAGCCGCAAGATTGCTGGTGCTGGATATGTGTGTGTGTGAGCATGTGTGGGCATGTTTTGGAGCAGGTTTCTGCCCAGAATCTCATATCCCGTTCTAGCTGGGGTGGGTGGTCCGACAAGCCAGAAGGAAACCTCACTGTAATGCCCCCTTGACATTGGGGTCTGGAGCCTGGAACCTCCAACCCTTGGCAGTCCCCCTGGCCCCTTGTCCCCTCTTCTCCCTCCTGACAAAGGTTCCCCTATGGTCTCCGCCCGCCCTCCACAGTCCCACTCGGGAGGGAGGCTGGGGGCAGAGAGTGGAAGGGGCCATCACCATCCTTTCCCTTTTCCCTTCACCCGCCAGGAGGCTCTCTCCTGGGTCTGTGATCCTGGGGGTGTCCCGCCCTCTGACCTGTCTGACCCTTCCATCTCTTCTGTGTTTGCTTCTGATGCCCGACACACCCCTCCGAGGAGGCTGGAACAGAACCTGGGGTCACAACATGTACCTCTCAGGTCACCTTGTTCTACTGAACCTTCAGCCCTTACTGACCCCGAGTGGTCTCCACGTGCAGCTGCCTCAGTTCATCTTGTCTTCCCTGCTCGGTGGGGAGCCGAACGGCCAGCGGGAACCGTCTCGTGCGTGTGGTCTGCAGCGGAGATCTGAGATGACGAAGTCGCAGATAAAGTCGCGAAGACTCCGAGACCCGGGTCGTGGCCGGCAGACAGCTGGGGCTGGGGGAGGCTCAGTCCCGGTCGTCTGACTGGACGGACGCCTCACCGAGACACTCTCCCCTCCCACTCCCCGCTGTCTTATCTCAGCCTCGGGGACACACGGGTCAGGGCTGTGGCCTCTTGCAAAAGACAATCCTTGAGTGTTTGCGCCCCACTCTCAGGTCTTTCCTGTGGCTCTGCTTACGCTCGGAAGCTGTCTGCTCTTCACTGGGGGAGAGGAAAGGACTGGAGAACGAGTTGCTCGCAACTGACCTCACCTACTCATAATGTCTTTAAAATGGACCCCAGCGGCCCCTGTGCCTGGCGCTAAGGCCTGCCTGGCGGCCCCTTTCCTCCACGCGGTGGGCACACCTCTCATTCCTGGCCCAAGGGCCGCCGTGCTGTCACCCAGACGGAAGCGTGTGCGTCGAGAGCAGGTGCCCAGAAGTGGGGCTGGATGCTGGTTCTCTGCCCGAGCCGGCTGAGGACCCACGACTCTCCAAAGCACGTGCGTCTGGACACAAGATGCACAGAAACGGCCATCTTGTGTCTGTAAAAGGGTCTCACACTGGAGCCCGGGCTTCGAGTCATCAGAATAACTCCATGTGCCAGCCATGTGCCAGCCAGGCACAGCAGAGGGCACCAGGGTGGGTTGCCTGTGTCCTCAGCTGGCGGGGGGGGGGGGGGGGGGGGGGCCACCGACAGGTGCATCACCAGACCCGTGCACCTGACCTCTGTCCAGGCAGCTGAGGCTTTGCAACACCGGGAGCTTCATCTCACCTAGAAATAGTGATAGTTAACGTGCTGCTTTGACATAATTATGTCTCCTCACTTGTCGCCTTTTTATTTTACTGTTTACTTATTTTTTAAAGTTTATTTATTTTCGAGTGAGGGAGAGTGCAAGTGGGGGAGGAACAGAGAGAGAGAGAGAGAGAGGGAGAGAGGCTCCAAGCAGGCTCAGCACTTTCAGCACAGAGTGCCATGCAGGGCTTGAACCCATGAACCATGAGATCATGACCTGAGCCGAAACCAAGAGTCGGACTGAGCCACCCGGGTGCCCCTATTTTTAAAAATGTTTTAATGCTTATTTTTGAGAGGGGGCGGGGAGGGAGAGGGAGAGAGAGAGAGCGCGCACAGGCAGGGGAGGAGCAGAGAGAAAGGGAGACAAAAGACCTGAAGAGGTCTCTGGGATGACAGCCCAGAGCCCGACGCGGGGCTCGAACTCACGAACCGTGAGACCGTGACCTGAGCCGAAGTCAGATGCTTAACCGACTGAGCCACCCCGGCGCCCCCATTTGTTGCCTGTGACATTTCTCTGAGTACGTCCCCAGACGGCAGCATCAGCAGCACCTGCGAGCTCGGTGTATATTCAGGTTCTCAGGTGCCATCCAGACCCAGCAACCCGGCAACTGTGGGTCTGGCACCAGGAATGTGTGTGTGAACAAGCCTTCCAGGCCTGCGCTGTCCCGTGTGGGGGCCACTGGCCTTGCTGTGGCTTCTGAGGTGGCTGGGAAGACGCACTGGACTTCGCGACCTCGTATGAAAAATGCACGTCAAATACTGCATTACATCTTGTTGTACTGGTTACATGTTGAAATAATAATATTTTCGATACGTTGAGCTATCTAAAATATGTTATTAAACTTCATTTTACCTGCTTCCTCTTACTTTTTTTAGAGTGGTTTCGAGAAAATTTAAAGCCACCGACGTGGCTTGTTCTAGGCGATTCTGAGGCACATTGACATATGAGGACAGCGCCCTACCAGCTTAGGGCTTGGAGAAGCTTGAGGGACACCAGGAATCATTTCCAGGAGAGGCGGGCCGCGAGCCACAGGCCAGGAGAATGAAGGTCTGATTCCCTGCAAGGACCAGAGGCGGGTGAGTTGGGAATGTGACCTTTTCATTTCATAGGATCTGGCATTTGCTTTTTGCCACTACGTGCTCACGAGACTAAATAAAGCGAACCCAAACCAAACAAATAGCCACCCCCCCCAAAGACCTCAAACAAACAAACAAACAAACAAGCAAAGAATTCCTAAATCCTACTTAACAATGAAGGATTTCAAGGGGCAGAGATGGGTATCCGCAGCATTGCCTTGGAGGAGGAGAGGAAGGAAAGAAAGCGCTTTTATCAGCATTCCAGATCTTGAGTAGCTGACTTACCCGGTTCTGCGATGCAGATTGGTCCTCTTGCTTTAGAATAAATCCCTTTGCTGCCTGTGCGGAAACAAGGCAACTTCGGGGAGTCTGGGCCTTCCTGTCGGCTAGTCCTCGGAACCCCAAGCTTAAAAGGAGCAGCTTTGTTTGGCGTGTATGTGTGTGTGTGTGTGTGTGTTTTGTGGGTGAGCTAAGCGAGAAGGATGGTCAGCTGAGTGCGTGCACGGCTAAGGGTAGAAATCATCGCCAGGGTGACTTATGAATAAGGAAATGGGTAGTAGGGATCCTGATGCGGAAGGAAGCAGGGAACAATGGAGACAGTCTTGCTGCCTCTAAATGAGTCTCTGTTTCAGAGGCACAGATTTCAAGAGCGAATCCTTCAAGCATTAGAAGAAAGAAACCCAGACTTTCGCAGCTGCAAACGTGTTCAGTGCAGCATGTGGCTCCCAAAGTCCGAGACGGAGAAGCCGAAGGACCGGCCAGCCCAGGACGGCCCGTTTTTCTGTGGACCGCTCCCTGTTCGGAACCAATTTTGTGGAATCTTCTGGCTGGCAGCGTTATGTTCTCGAAGGACAGTGAGTGGGGCAGAACAGGTTAAGAGCAAGCCAAAGTCTTTCAGGTCGGAGGTTCTGGCTCTACGAAGCTCGGTGGTGGGGCCGACGTTCCCAACTAAGCTGAGCCTGCAATTTGGAAGGGATCCTAGGTTTGCATTGTCCCAAACCGTATGTATGAGAGTTTTCCAGGGAAACAGAACCAGGAGGCTGGGCATTTGTAGAGAGATTTATTTTAAGTAATTGGCTCATGTGATTATGGAGCCTGACAAGTCCAAACTCTTCAGGGTGGGCTGTCAGGCTGAAGGCTCTGGAGAGCTGATGTTGAAGTTCAAGGCCAGAAGACGGTCTCATGCAGAACTCCCTCTTGTTCCAGGGGGTGGGGTGGGGTGGGGTCAGTCTTTTGCTGTTCAAAAGATTTGTCCTTCTGTGGATTGCATGAGGCCATGCAATGGAGGGCAGTCCGTGTGGTTTGAAGTCCATCGATTAAACGTAAATCTCACCCCGCAACCTTTCATGGAAACGTCGGGAGTAATGTTTGACTGCATATTTGGGTACCCGGTGGCCCAGCCAAGTTGACACATAAAATTAACCACCATGCTGTATAACCTGGTATAACACGAGAGGGACCTTCCTGACGTGTCTTGTTTAATCCCTTATGTTGGAGGCAAGGGGACTGGAAGTAGCTAATGCCCTCAGCTTGACCTCCCCTGGTCAAGGGACAGTGTTCTGTCCCCGTGGGGAGGATCCCCTGGGCGCCCCAGCTCTCCTGACAAATACGGAGTGCCAGGGAAAGGAGTTCTCCAGCTTTGCTTCTGAGCTGGGCCGAGGGCTTCTGCGGCGGAAGGAAACTAGTGGGAGTCTCCTCCCACTTTTCCAAGGGCATGACGTCAGTGGGCCATACTCTTCCCATTGCAAGCATTTCTCTACTTTAACTTCGCTTGAAGCATCGGTGCCTGCCTCTGCTTCTCTGCCAGCGGGCGCCGGTGAGCCAGGCGGGCCGTCCTGCAGAAGCAAGCTGGTATGGCCACGAGTCGAACCGGTGCGGACCCTGGTGACCCGGGGCAAGTTGCCAGACCTCCCCGTGCCTCGCTCTCCTTGCACAAAACGTACCCCTGCAGAGGGTTATGGGGACGAGTCAGTGCCTTCCCACCCTACTCAGTCTGGGAGCCCCTTGGGTCCATGTTTCTGCCTTGCTTTCTGGCCAGAGGGCCCAGCACAGGCTCTGGATGGGAGCCCGCTGGTAAGAAGCCCCTGTAATGACAGTTCCCCTGGTCCCTCAGGCGATGGGAGCCGTGGTCTGACAGCTCCTCCCCCGGGTTGGCGCCGCCAGCTGCTCCCACCCCACCCCTGGCTCTCCTGTTGCCACTGAGGCGTGAGACCCCACTGGACCTGGGAGGTCCCTAGCAGGGTGTTGCTTGATTTCTGCGATAAAATGTTGCGGGTAGACTTGTGTCCCCCAGAAAGATATGTAGAAGTCCCTGTACGGTCACCCGTGAATGTGACCTTATTTGGAAATAAAGTCTGTGTAGATCTAGTCGAGTTGAGATGAGGCCATACTGAATTGGGGGCACCCCAAATCCAATGACCGCTGTCCTCCTAAGAGGTAGTGATTTGGACACAGAGACTCACGGGAGATACACTCACAGGGCCGAAGGCCATGTGATGACCGAGGCAGAGATTGGAGGGACTCAGCTACAACCAGGGGCTGCAAATAACCACTAGGAATTGGAAGGGACAAAGAAGGGTTCCTCCCTGGAGCCTTCAGAGGGAGCATGGCCCTATCGACATCCTGACTTTGGACTTCCAGCCTCTACAGCTGTGAGAGAAGAGATTTTCGTTCTTTCGAGCCACCCAGCTTGTGGCCACTCTTAGGGCAGCCTTTGGAAGCCGGTAGGAGAAATCGGGCATCTGCTGCTACAAGTGGGACGTATGCCCTTCTGCAGAATCCAAGTGAGCTCACAGTGGGCTGTTCAAAGCACCCTATCGTTATGTTTCTAGTCCCCAAACCCATACATGGAGAGACAGGGCTAGAAGCTGTCCATTTCCTGAGACGTACAATACACGTAGGACAGTAGAAGGTGCCACGCGGAGGCACCACTCGGCCAGGACTCGGTTCGCGCGCTGCTTCAGAGCCTCAGCCATGGTGCAGCCAGGCTGCCATCTTGGAGCGAGGTCTCTGCCACTGCTGGGCCTGCTGTGGTGGCTGTTCCGGGTCCTTCGCGCCGCTGGCCAGTCAAGTGCTGGCCTTTCTCCTTGCTTCCCCATCGTGGCTGAGATGTGCCACAGGCCACTTAGGCCCACACAAGTGCGACAGGACATGCGGGGAAGGTGACGCCCCTTGGGGGAAATCCAACCAATGGGAGACGGGGCCAGTAGGCACGCATTCGTCTCCTCCCGGACTTGGACACTTGTTTTTGGAAAGTCGCAAACAACACATAATGAGCTGTGGAAAGGTCTTCCTGGGGCCGGCTCTTGTCCCCACCACGTTCTGCTCCGACTGTGCAGGTGGCCAACCCTTCTGAGCCTCCTGAGCACAATTTGCTGACCATGCACACCCCGCAGAGTGGTTGGGGGTGGGGAGGGGCAGGGGGGACATCTGTGAGGCGCCTTCTATGGGGTCTGTGCACGATGGACACACTGGCAGCTCTTCCCCTTCCTCCTTCCCTCGGGGATTCCCGTCCTACCTCGGAGGGAGTGCCGAGACCCTCAACACTTCCCTTCCCGGCATCCTCTTAGCCCTTGAAGGCAGTGCCATGAAAGAACATTAAATTAAAGTAAGATTGTCTTGTGTCCTAAAAATTAGGACCCTCGCTAGCAGAACTTCGGTCTTTTAAGGTCTGTCTGTGTCACCAGTGACCAGCGATGGAGTCATATTCATTTTTTTTTTTTTTTCACCGTTTGGATGCCTTGTTATTTCCTGACTCAAGGTGAAGTGGAAAGATGCGAATCACTCCATGACTCAGCCACACGAGTCTCCGTGAAGGAGCATATAAAGCTTCGAAGCTTCTCCGGCTGTATGCACTATCTCGGTGGGATGCCTCTTTCTTGCAAACACCTTTCCACTCTGTCTCTTGGTTGGTGTTACGCCCACCTGAATGTTGTTAAAGGGGACCTTGTTACAGCTCTTTGTGAGAGAGAGACGGTACCCTTTGGTGGAACCGAGGCCACGTTAACCAAGTTAACCAAACAAAGCTCACTGGATGTGTGACACGCCTACCAACGATGCCAAAGGAAATCATTTCTTTCGTGTCTCTCTATTCATGTTACTTCCCGTGGTTGACGTAATCAAAAGACAAAAAGCGACCACACGTAACCCACAAATCTAAAAAATCACCAGATGTGGAGTACAACCCTCAGAGTCCAGACAATAAGACCGAGCCGCTGTGATGGCAGCAAGATGAACAAAGAGAAACAATTTTTTATGGTCAGAAACTCTCTTAATATTTTACCACATTATTTGCAGTTGGGGGAGGCAGGAGCCTTCCCGGAGAGCTGCCCTTTCACCATGGGAGGCAATGTTAATGTAAAAATCAACTCTGACTTTATATCTATTTCCATTTAGGCTTCCATTTATTATGGAGGTAATAAAACACTCAAAAAAAATCAAGCTTGACATCTGATTAGAATGTCCGGTCAATGTCTTTACCCATCACTCTCTGTAAAACAGGAGTCTCCATTTTACTAACGCTTCAGAGGATTTCATTGGCCAGCTGCCATTGTCTTTTTCCTTCCAATTCCCTCAAGGTACCAATCTCGGGAAGTGTTTGTGTTCTGGTGGCAGAATCGTCTCTGGTTCCAGCGTGAGATGAGATGATAGGGAAGCCGATGAGGCAGAAGGTCTGTACAAAAATTGTGGGCAGCCGTGCGGTGAGGTTAAAAGAAATCTACCTACAGTTTGCCGGCCCCTCATTTTTCTCCTCACACTTACCTCGGCTTTGTCAGTGTCACAGCGTCAAGGTAGAAAAGGATAAAGGATGCCCAAGTCATGTTGCCGATCACGCACTGGTAGGGCCTCTGTTAGAATGTTTCCTCAGGAGAGTGATGGGTTTGCTTTTGGTCCTCCATGTTATCTGGCTTCTTCTCTTTGGATCGAAGTCTCTCTCCCTCGGCACTGTTGACATTTTGGGCTGAGTCATTCCTTGGAGTAAGGCTGTCCTGTGCATTATAGGAGGCTTAGCAGAATCCCCAGCATCTACCCTCGGGTGCCTCCATTCGTAGCAGACCCCACCCCCAGCTGAGATCGTTGAAAGTGTCCCAGATATTGCCGGATGTCCCCAGCCAGGGGAAGGGAGTCGTGACCTACTGCTTTGGACAGTCATGGCTCACGTGCTCTTGGAGGACACCCTCCTTTACCCTCCCCCGAGAGAAAGTGGGATCCAAGGTGAGTAGGTTAATTCAATGGCTCCCTTTTGGCAGGATTTTCATGGGAGAAGTGGGGAGGAAGGACCCAGGGTAGCAGAAGGTATAAATCTCCTTTCCCCTCTTCTCCCCAGTTAGAACAGGCAAGGCAGGACCCTTCTCTGTGAAGCTTGTTCTCCGTCTTCCAGGGCTATGAGGTCAGGTTGAAACCAGGAGTGGAGAGGTGAGGGGTGGAAAGGGGATAAAGGCGGCCATGTTTTGTTTCATGTCTGTAGCACCCCCACAGTTTCCGGCACACGGCAGGTGCTCAGTGATCGGTCCATCCACCGAGCTTGAGTGAAATTTACGTAAGCTCCATCTAGAAGCCTTCCCCACGCAGCAGCAACAACGTCTCCCTTGACCGCTCACAGTGGCGTCCATCCTCATGGTGAGCAGAGGGGACTCGAGACCTTGGGTCAAAATCACCCAGCAAGTATCACGTCTTTTGTATAACTTGATAAAAATGTTCCATTCTTGCTACCTGCCTTCCCACTTACTGATTATTTCCATCCTTCTTTCGTTGGTAATCCCTGACTGCCTGGTGGTTGGGTATGACGGCTGGCTGGCTGGCTGAAATGAGGAACTCAGTTGTTCCCAGGACATTGCTGAGTACCGACCACCGGGCCCTTCTCCTTGTGGTGCCACGGCTCTGAATATCGATCGGGGACGCAAGGTCAGGCGGTGGACTGCAGCTGTCACTCTTGCAGTGGGTGATGCTATGGCGTTTAAAGCATTACCCACAGCACTGAATTATTTTTTACAAATATGTGGTAATATCCGATTCAAAGGAGAGTGTAGGTGAAATTCCCAGGATGTGGTGCAAACGACACGTTTGTGTATACCGTCTGTGTACTATGTTGTGATTAATAGAACCCAGTCACACAACACAGCCCAGGATGCAGTGTTCTTGATCTGGGCCAGGTGCCGAGACTCTACGGGTACATCTCCAGTGTTGGCTGCTCTCCCG